CGGCCGACCTCTACGCCACACACACCCTAAATGTTCTAAAATGTGGATTATGAATTTTACCTGCCAAGCTGTAACTTGCAAGAGTGTGTAATTGAGCATACAGCAGAATACAAAGAGCAAACTTAGTGTGTGTTTGTGTGTATGTGTGAGAGAGAGAGAGAGAGAGAGAGAGAGAGAGAGAGAGATTAAAAGACTCTGACTCAACACTATGTTTAGAAGACCTTTGGTTATTAAATCAGCTTAAGGGGGAAAATTCACTCACACACACACATGCATCAGCAAGCACAAGAAACAACAACAACAACAACAAGTAAATAGCAACTTGGAAATTATGCCAAATAACCATAGGCCATATGTCAGATGACCAGCCAACCATTAGCTTTCATCCTTTTAGCAGATCTGTGTTGCTCTTAGATAAATTACCTGTGGGTAAGAAGCAGTTTAGTTTCCCACAATATTTATTTTTGATTTATTCTACTTTTTTTGGTCAGGCCTTAACCCTGTAACAGCACTAAACTGGTTTTATTTTTGGCTCATCATATATTTGGCTCATTCATCAGCTCATACGGTTTCCTTATTTCTTGTTAGAAGTTATCCTGTTACATATTGTTATGTTTTTTAGTATTTATGATGGAAATCAACAGCAGTCCCTTGCCATATCTTTTTTGCATTGTAAAAGTGTAAAAGTTGAATTTTAACTAACTAAGGCGGTTAAAATTCAACATGATTCTGTTAAACAACAAGAGGTCAAGTTGCAATCCATGGCTTCTGAATCTTGGTAGACATTTTTTAAACATTCAGAAGTTAGAAAACAAGGGTCAAACGAGCAAGTTCAATTCTGTTATATAAACATTCTTAAAATTCAGAACACACAGCTCATTCTGTTTTGTCAACTCACTTTGCAATATATATTAGGCAACATTAATCTTTAGAGCCTCTCTACTTGACATTTTCAATTTAAAAGCCCTAAAACAATGCATTTCCATTTAATGCACGCAATCATTAATCATTAGTTTGTGTACAAAAAGTATCAGCAGTAGTGTTAAATGAGGATTTATAGAAAAGAAGTAGGTCAAGATGAAATTTTGTTTATTCATAACAAAATTCATGTAGATAACTTACTGGAAAAACTGGTAGAAACTGTAATGATGCACACATAATTAACATCTGAACACTGTTGTGTCCTTTTATATGCGTGTTCTGTAAATATTTGCCACCTTTTGTGAATGGGAACTGAGCCAGGTGTGTTAAGAGGCTATGTTTGTTTTAAGATGATGTAAAATGAGAGGTAATCAAAACTCACAGAGAGCAGCTACATTAATATAGCTCTTGCATATACAGCATTACAATTCATTTAATGTAACCTTCATGCAGTTTGAGTCATGCAAAAATGTTTATTTGGTCAATACACTAATCTAATCTGCAGCTGTCATATTGTAACTATTAATGGTTTTGCGAATAATTAAAATGTTCTGTCCCAAATTATTTAAAAGGAAAGGAATATATTAAAGGAAGTATTAAATAATAGCGATACTCGATTTTGACAAAAATCATAAATCACGATTATTTTGGTCAATACTGTAACCATGATTATTTAGCACGATTATGAGTTGGCCATGTGACCAAAACTTTATATGAATGATTTATTTAAAGATAGTGATATATATAATCAAATATATATTTATGTAAATAAGGTTGCTATGACATCTACATTTTAGAGACCAGCGAAATGTCACAATTGTCAATATCACAGCAGAATACTAGCGTAACTAAAATAAGTTTTAAAAAAAGGGTCCACAAAATGATTGAAAATAATTAAAATGTCAGTAATAAAAAAGCAGAAGACAAATACATTAGAATATAAAAGATTCAAATGAAACAAACTGTGCTTTTTTTAATGCAAGTCTAAAGTATTCAGTTAACAGCCTATACAGAAATTGAATAATCTAATGTAAAATAAAACAGCATAGTTTTTACTGTAAGAATTCGACTTTATTTGTTTCTTATTAAAGCTACAAAAGTCATTCAGTCAAGAGCAGCGAGTGATTTTGAAATCGAAATAGAAACTGTATTTTGATTAATTGCACAGCCCTACTTTTAAATATACTACGTTTTAAAGGATAATGGTAAGTATATTAGTTTAATCTTTTGTGATATGCCTTTAAAATGCACTCCATATTGGGCTTGTCCGCCACCCAGACTTTTAATACCAACTTATAATAAATGTCATTTTATAAATTTTATGTTTTGGAATTTCATGGAATTGAATGTTATGAAATTTCTCAGAATTCTATGGAATGTTATAGTATGGTACAAAATATGTCATGAGATTCCTTGGAATTCCATGAAGTTGAATGGCATTCAGTTCCATAAATGTTCATAGTTCCTTGATGCAGTAATTATCAAGCAGTGAAATTGGGAGATCGAGGCTATGATCAGATCCTTAATCCAGTTTCATTTTTGAGATTTCAAGAAGTCAGGTGTTTTGAAGAATCACCCATGTTATTTTATGTTTTTCTTGGTGCCACCAACATCCGCTGAAATATGACTGACAACCTTGGAAAAATTTGTAAAATGCTAAAACAGTGTTTACAATATGTTTGAACTGAATGTAAGAAGTTTTCTGATGAGAATAAGCAAAGGAAAATATCTGGTGTCTGATAAAAGAGAGGAAGACTGTGGGTTTAAGCTGTTGAGAAATAAAAGCCTTGTGTTTGTAAAGGGATTTTTTTGGGTTAATTTAATATTGTTTTGCTGTGTTCATCAGTCATGCTGGTTTTTATTGTACTGTCAGCTGTGTATGCTGAAGTCTGTGTTTATCCACGTGGGTGTTCTTCTCGAACAACATCTGCTTGTTTTTTTCTGTATCAAATGCGGTTGCTTTTTCATTCATGGCTGTTTTGGACGTCACACTGTCGGGAAGAAAGACTGTGCGTTTGGTTTGTGTACAAAAAGTATCAGTAGTATTCTGCTGTGATATTGACAATTGTGACATTTCGCTGGTCTCTAAAATGTGGAAGTGTCATAGCAACCTTATTTACAGAATAAGGTTATATTTATAATAAATTTATATATCTATCACTATCTTTAAATAAATCATTCATATAAAATTTTGGTCACATGGTTACAGTATTGACCAAAATAATTGTGATTATGATTTTTGTCATAATTGAGTATTGCTATTAAAAGTATTTAATACTTCCTTTAATACATTCTTTTCTTTTAAATAATCTGGGACAGAAAAATTTAATTATTCGCAAAACCATAAATAGTTACAATATGACAGCTGCAGATTAGATTACAGTGTATTGACCAAATAAACAATTTTGCATGACTCAAACTGCATGAAGGTTGTATTAAATGAAATGTATGATATGAAATGTAATGCTGTATATGCAAGAGCTATATTAATGTAGCTGCTCTCTGTGAGTTTTGATTACCTCTCATTTTACATCATCTTAAAACAAACATAGCCTCTTAACACACCTGGCTCAGTTCCCATTCACAAAAGGTGGCAAATATTTACAGAACGCACATATAAAAGGACACAAATCCTAGACAAGCAAAAGAAAAAGAGATCACTGCAAGCTAGCAATGTGAATAGAAGAGTCATCTGGCCATTGAAGTTCACGTCAATAATATTGTTCATTCTTTAGCAGACAGTCCAACTGATGGAAAGGTGGAAATAGTCATGCGTGTCATTGGTGAAGCTTTTGTTTAACAGTACACGCATGAAATTCATGAAAAACACACCTGCTACCACAAAAGAAGACCAATATTACATAAAGACCAACGTATGGCCAAACAGCACACATTGATGTCTTCACTAAATGCAGTTAGTCATGCAACAGCACACACACACGTGCAGGTCAATACACATATAGGACAGCTAAGCACTCTTTCTCTCAGTTTTTAATTATCACACTGCGTGTATGGCAGTAAAGCTGCAGTTCTCTTTAAAGTCACGGCAGGAATAATTAGCTTATACCTTTACTCAGATAAAGCACTAGTTGGATTTGCTTACAACTGGACATTCTGGTTAATATTTAAATTTTACAGGGCGTTCAATGCATCACGCACATTACAGTAAAAGCCATTTTGCATCCCATCATTTCTAAATCATTGTCATTTCAGAATTATAGAATTGCAATATAGTTTTACATTTGTGGCATCATAATTTTGGCTTTGGTTTAGTTCAAACTATATAATTATAGTCAATAATGACTCAAGAGTTTATAACTTGCCCAAAAACTGTTAAGTTAGTTGCTTAAGGTTCGCGTAAGTTGAGTTCCCACCACCATTTCATAAAATTGCAGAAGTGGACATGCAGTTATAACCAAAATTACTTCTAGAAGTCATACACAATAGGCGTTATCAATTGTGATTGTTATCTGAAAACTAAAATCAAAATGACATTTAAAAATTCTAATTTAACAGATAGCGTAAGCATTTTATGTCCTGTTTGTAATTTAGCTTCTGATTTTGCAAGTGAGAGCAGTAAAGCCCAATGGAACCACCATAATCAGAGATTGTCCTTGAGAGCTTCAGTTCCTCTATTTTCCCAAGCTATAGCAGCAGTTTTTTTAGCAGGTTGTGGAAAAGCAAATGTTTTTTTAGAGAAGGAATGCAAACCATCTAGAATCTCCAACTGTGCTCTGCAAGTGTGTGAGTGGATTTGTCCATTAGATGTTTTCAGTGTCCGTCTCTGTGATTCAGAGATTAAATAAATCATTTTTGCTCTACCAGCCCTGCATGAGGAAATTACAGACTTCAGAAGCAAGTTACGGCACAGATTCATTCATCAGTGCTTCCAAGACTAAGACATCAACACTGTTTTGGTGATCTCCTTGCTATCCTGCCCTACATCTACAGCCTACATCCTCCTCACAGACGTGTACCTTTACATAGCACTGTGAGCCTCAATACACCACAGATGCTATTTTTGTTGTGTTTATTTTCATTTATGCATTAGGCAGACACTTTTATCCAATGCGACTTACAGTATAGGTTTACAATACGTGTTCCCTTGGAATAAAACCCATGGCCTTAGCGTTGCTCTACCAGATACAGGAACGCAGCTTAAACAGCTGATGCCAGTGGGATTTTTGATTTCTATTTATATAAACAGAGAGAGAAAGTGATTTATTTAAAAGTTCAGTTCAGTTAAAGGGATAGTTCGCCCAGAAATGGATATTTCCTCATCATTTACTCACCCTCAAGTCGTTTCAAACCTGTATGAATTTCTTTCCGTGGAAGAATATTTCAACTGTCTGTCAAAACAATGAAAGTCAATGGGGTCCAAAACAACACTGAAATCCACTGACTTTTATTGTATGGAAAAATAAATAAAAAATAAATTAATAAATGAAACATTTCTATAGAAGAAAGAATATCCTACAGCAGGGTTTCCCAAATTGATGTTTGGGAATCATTGGGGTTTCTTAAGAGAAAGTCAGGGAGTTGATGAAAAGCTAATAATCAATTAAGTCACAAAAACAAATACAATTAAATAATAATAAAAAAAATAAAATACTTAAAGATGACATTTTCATTGTTTACTGCATGTCATGTGACATCTGACATTACAGAACAATGAATATGCAAATGTGTCATTCAATTATTTAAATATGACCTTCTCAGGGGTATTTTAAAGGGGTCATGTTGCTAAAAAGAACATTATTTTGTGTATTTGGTGTAATGAAATGTGTTTATGCGGTTTAAGGTTCAAAAAACATTTTCCACATACTATACATTATTGTTTCTCCTCTATGCCCCGCCTTACTGAAACGCGTCAATTTTTACAAAGCTCATCAGTCTGAAAAGCGAGGTGTGCTCTGATTGGCCAGCTATCCAGTGCGTTGTGATTGGCCGAATACCTCAAGCGTGTGACGGAAATGTTACGCCCCTTGCCATATTGTGATGCCTTGTCCCGGCGACGAGACAAAAACATTAAAACACATTATAAACGAGGCATTTGTTGCACCCAGTGGAGACATAATTACGTATTATAATGACTTATACTGTCTTTTTACGCATTGCATCGCACCGCGTAAACATAAAACCATGTCTGCATTTGTGATTGGAGAAATGACAAACTACAAACGCTACTCTACACTGCTAAAACAATCGTCAGTGGCAAATTCTTTAAATATAAAAAACTTACTTACAGTCTGTGAGTCAAAGCAGCCGGCATTGTAGTCTACTCTACCAGGATCAGGAAACAGTCCTCCATAAAATG